CAAAATCTCCTGATAATGCCTCCCAGTGGCCGAGCACTGGGGAGATGATTGACCTCTGTGGGACCCCACAGTTGAGGACCTACAGAATCAAAACAGCCTCCCTAAAAGACTCTCTAGAGTTGGCCATTGAGGAAAGACCGGGTTCAGCTTAACTCAAGGCCACCAATCCCCAACCTCAACAGTCTATCTAGGAGGTTATCATGGTCGATGGAATCAAAGGGGCTAAGAGAATAAGGAGGACCAGCAGTGTCAGGTTACCCCTGTCAGCTTTCCTAAAAAGGTAAACTTGCAGCATGACCAGTGCCATCTCTGTAGCATTCTGGGGCCTGAACCTAGACTGGAATGCGTCTAGAAAGTTGGTTTCTTCCAGGAATGCTTATAAGTGGTCCACCACCATCCTCCTGATCAATTTGCCAGCAAATGGAATGTTTGTGACAGGCTTGAAGTTATTCAAGTCATCTGTTGCTAGATTCACCTTTTTCAGAATGGGCTTAATGATATTTCTTTCAAGCAGTTTTTTTTAAAAAGACAATTTCAAGACATTTGCAGTTTTTCATTTATAGTTATATCAAATACATTGACAAAATTCATTAGGCTTAGACACTGCACATCCACATTGAACAAGATGGAAACAAAATGAGTTTAAGCAGGGAAACTCATACAAAAAATAATCACAACCATCTGAAGAGAGTACCAGTAGACTAAACGCATGGAAATATCAAGTTATGTGTTTCATTCCCATATACACAACTTCAATTTATAACTTCACAATAAAAATTTAAGTTCCAATGGTATAATGGACAAAGTGGCAGGGTGGGACACAGGAGACCTCGGTCTGAATCCCTACTCAGTCACGGAAACTGTAAAACCACTCCTTAAATATCTCACCTTGAAAATCTTACTAGGGTTGCTGTAAATCAAATACAACTTGACAGCATGTAACAAACATAAACATCTCACAATATCATCTTACAATATCACTTCTTTATTAGACATAGAGACAGATATACTAAATTGAGCAAGAAAACAATCCAGAGTTATGCCTTTTTTCAAAATGTCACATGAGATAAAATAAGATTGTCTTTCTTCCTTCTTTTGTAGTTATAGTGAGTACATTATACTTCTATAAAACAACTTTGGAAATAAGTCCATTTTGCAAATGATCAATAGAAAATAGCAAACCTGACAAGTTGTTGGTACCCTGTCTGACATAACAGTTATTTGTAGCAAACAATTATCTGAAAGAACCATTTCTCCCAATGTCAGAAAACCTTCTCTCCCTGTTTTACATTGGTGATGAGGCAAGTGATTATCACTCTTTCATAGTTTTGTGTATTTAGGTCACTTAGTTGCTTTAGCAAATTATGTATCTGCCTAAAGCAAACAATATACAGGTTTCAGCTGCACACTTATGTTGCATGTGTATCTATCTCCTTCTTTCAACATCAAAAGTTACTTGATATCTTCCATTACTGATAGCAAAAACATTTAACTTGCAACATTATCAGGTTTCTTTTCAATATTTTCTTTTTAACATTTGCAGTGTGGTATTATTATTTCAGTGTTTCATTTGTGATGTTTGAGGGAGGAAGTAATGAACTCTGGTTCATACTGTCTGCAGGGGCAGAAGTCAGGAGTTTGATTCCTAGCTGTGTGGCCCAAGAGAAGATTCAACCAAAGTGGCCTTGGGCAAGTCGTACAGTCTTACAGTGCCCCAAGAAGTAGGGAACAGTGAATGACTTCTGTGCACTGCCTAACTAGATATATAAGTCAGAATCAACTTGATGTCATGCAGTTATTATTATCATACATAATTCCTACTAGGCATAAGAAACACAAATAAAAATGTAGCACAGCATTGTATGCTAAATTTCGCACATAATTTAAACCAGTTGTGTCCTACAAGATATATACTCTTAAAAGTAACATATTCCAAATTAGAATGTAGACTAAAAGATACTTCATATAATTAAAGATACCAGGATGTAATAAAATCTCTTGATGTTCGCTTGAAGTAGTTTTTGAACTGGCTTCTCAAAAGATTTCCACCTAAGATTCTGTAGAAATATGTATGAAGAACAGAGACAACCAGGAACTTATTAAGGCAGGAAATATCCTTCAGATGCTGCTCGACAGCAACTCCCAGCAGCCTGTCAGCATAGCCAGTGGTAACAAAAAGTAGGAGTTGCAGTTCAACAACATCTGGATGATCACATGTTTCCCATCCTTGCCATAAAAGTACATGGAGAGTTTACATTGCAAACATCAGCTTCCCCTCATTTTCCTCTTATGATGTCCACAGTACATTTTAAAAGTGGTGGAAACATCACCTTTCTCTTCTAAAAAGTTACATGCATGTACTAGAACTACAGAAGATAACAATTCAGCAGTTCATCCTTTAAAAAAAAACAATTAAAATTATCAGACAAGAATCATATTTGGAAGTTTATCTATGTGACATGAGCACTATTTGGAGCAAAAGTCAGCAGGCAGCAAACTGAGTATGTATACATATAATATTACAGCTCTAAGATACTACATACCACAGTTATAATGATGGTAATAGATAACAGACACTGCTCTGTGTGTCTGCTTAATAGAAGAGACACTACAATTTAATATACTATATGGAAAAAATCTAAGTACTGTACCAGGATTTGGTTATGTGTGTGTGTGTGCACACGCATGCATTAGCACCTCCCTTTCCCCCTCCCACCCGGTACAATGGCAAATATATCATCAAGGTTACAGTACACTTGAAGTACTTGAGATCCTCTTAAAAATTAATTCAAAAACTATTTAAGGCAGTGGTCCTCAACCTTGGGCCTCCAGATGTTCTTGGACTTCAACTCCCAGAAATCCTGGCCAGAAGAGGTGGTGGTGTAGGCTTCTGGGAGTTGTAGTCCAAGAACATCTGGGGGCCCAATGTTGGGGACCACTGATTTAAGGGACATATTGATGGAGGCTGGTATAATCTTCACATTTGGTACGATAATTTAGGTTCAAAGCTGAAAGTTGTACCCTCCTCCACCAGTAAGCCTTTTAATACGGTAAACTGCCTAGGGTTATCTTAAGGAGAAATGTGGTATAAAAATAATTTTAAATAAATAAGGATTGTACAAATTACTGTCTCTCAGTCTGACCTACCCCAGAGTTGTGGTAAGTACTATATGACCCCTGATAATACTGTCCAAATGTCTAAAATCTGACAAGCCACAGAATGTACAAGGATAATCAATTATTTTGGCTTTGGTAAGATTAAAGTCTCACAGATTTCCTCCACTTTAGCTTTTTCTAAATAGCCTGCATCCTCCTTACAATTTTACATCATTAAGGAAATGGATTACAATTTGTTCCAGGCTACATCATCCTTGGTCTGCAGTCCTAAACACAGTTGTGTGAAAGTAAAAGCTACTAAATTTTATGAGACTTATGAATAAACACGTTTAGGATTACACTGTGTGTCACAGAAAGGATCTGAGCTTCTTAACCACTGAAGAAGCACACACCCTTTCTCACCAACCCGAGTTTGGTAGTTTATTCTGGGTCTGAGGAGACAAGGGTTAGCCAATCAGCCTACTGCTGTTTCTCAGTGCTCAAGGGTACTGAGTGACCACTAAGGAGTTGCAGAGGAGTATCTCTGTAGTGTTGAAAATTGTTTGCTTTCCTAGAATTTCAGCAGGAAGCAAACAGATTTTTGTGACAGATTTCCTCAGCCACAATCCCCCTAAATCCATTTGTCTCCAAACGGAAGAGTAGACTCCCTTAGACTGTTTGATTGTTGAATCACTCAATCTTTGGGGGGCTTGCTTAACTGTCTTTTCTTACCCTACTGAGCCTCACATTTGTGAGTCTACATGCAACATGGAGGAAAACAGAATTGGCAGTGACATTCAGGCACAATATGAGGAAGTTGTCCAAGGCAGCTCAAGAAAAAAGAAGATTCATTTCAAGGCTTCGAGCAAAGCCTGTTTATCTTCTATGATAATAAGGTCCTCTCCTTCACTTGGCAACTGCACTCTGCTGCTGTGTTATTGAGACTTATGCCCCATGTTATAATGCACTGCTTTCCCTCCACAAGCAACTCTGGTACTGCTACAGCTGATTACTATCAATGCTTTCCCTCCTCCCTCCTGGAGACAGGCTGATGATGAGAGACAGACGCGAGGGAGTTGATCCCTGCTTAGAGTAGCAACCTCTGGGCAAGTACTGTATTCGTCAAAGCTACAAACACACTGGCGATGATAATGCAGAGCCAGCAATGCGCAGAGTACGAGAAGGGAAAGGGGAGCAGGACAGAAACCCTTCTATAACCATGCAACAGTCATGGGCACAGGATGGAGAGACCCTCTTCAATGCCAATGCAAACAAACACAAGCACTTTGGCCCTTGCTGTCTTGCACGCACACGCACAAGTTACTACCTGCTCCCTATGTTGCGGGATGAGAACACCCCCCCATCGCCCCTGCCTCCCAAAACAATGCCGAGCAAAGCTATCGTCTATCCACAGAATAGGTGCAGAACCTCCATCACAGAGGGAATGAGTTTAAAAAAGAAGGAAAGAGGACCGACCTCCTAGAAGAGATGGCAGGGTTAGACCATACCGCTCTCCCGCCAGAGCCCTACAGAAACAACAAGCAGCCACGCCAAGACGAAACCAGGAGGGAGGGGGTGAAGGGAACGGGGCACCCCCTCGGTCGGGGGGGGGAGGCAAAGATGGCTTCCAGGTAGGGGAGACCGAGAGAGGAAAGGGGCGCGCGGGTCCAGGAAGCGCAGCCTGGAAACAATACCGGGTGACGGGGGGAGAGAGAGAAACGACCGGCAGGGCAACAGCGATGGGAGGAGGGGAGCCCAGAGAGAGGAAAGCGTGGCAGCAGCGCCGCCGCCGCCCCTGCCTGGGCCACCCAATGAGGAACGGAGGGGCCACCCCGGCTCGGTCGCTCTTCTCAGGCCCCGCGTGGCGGCTAGTTTCGGCCCGCCACGGCCCTTCGGGAACTTACCTGCTCTTACTGCCTCCACCCAGTCCGCCCGGCCTTTCCCCGTGTCCCGCTCTTATCCCTTTGACAGCTGCTGAAGCACCAGCAAGGAGTGCGGCGGCGGCGGCGGCCAAGCCCGGGCGCTGCTGCTCATGTCAGAGAGGAATCCTGCCGCCCCTCAAGCCCCGCCTTCCTCCCGTCGAGTCGCCAGGGAAACCCCAGAACCCGCCTCCCTCCAGCGGGGTGGGGGGAGAAACTAACCCGAAACCAAACCCGCCCCCACTAGTCCGCGCAAGCTCACTTCCCGCCCCCCTATTTTGTGTCACGTGCTCCCTAAGGGGCCAATCAGGGGTGGCAGGATCAGCGCCCCCACCGGAGTGAGGGGAAGGCTGTTATGCGGCGGGAGGAGCGAACGGTGGCGTTTGCGTGTCAGGTTTTGGCTTCTCGAACGGCGGCGTTTGCGTGTCAGGTTTTGGCTTCTCCGCATCCTTTCTGAGGAGGTGTTTTCGTCTGCGGGGGGCCGCCACCGCCACCAACAGTGTCACTGTGTGCTCGCATCTTTCTCGGCCCCAGTCCTGTGTGTTTCTTCTGCATCTTTCCCTCGTGACGGAGGATGATGGAGAGTGTCTAGGACGGTCATTCCAAAATGACCTGCCTTTAATAAGTGTGTTAGTCTGTGGAGTGCCACAGGGCTCCACAAGTTAACGAGGATAAAACAATTTAATCTCAAAAACAAATTCAGTGAGGTGTTTGTGCTTCCCCTTGCAAGGGGCAGGGGCCTGTCTGTCCCAAGGCGGGTGTGACTACAGCACTTAATTACAAAAGATCGCTTTTTACCACTTCCTTTTTTACCGCAGATAGCGCATAAACACAGGAAGCAGAAACACACACAAACATAATTCATTTTCTTTCACACAGACACTGACAGAAAAGAGACGACTGCTTCTTTCAGAAGCTGGATTTATAGACAAGCAAAAGAAGCTACAGTTGGGGTTCAAATGTGACATACTGTACTAGCTCTGCAGAACTCGTTTTTTATTTTCTTCAAAATAACGCTTAATCCCGCTGACAAGAAAACCTGCTGTCCTACCAGGTTCTCACCTCGAAGTCCATCTGTGCCTTCTCGGAGGCATCGGGACAATTCTGTCCCCGTGTTGTGCCGTCTCTGGCATCTCTGGTGTCTCTATCCTCCCTCCAAAAGAAGAGGGCATGGAGTGATTTGCAGTTTTTAAAAACTAACGAAAAATGGGGGTGAGGGTCATGGCATGAGGTGTGGCTCTCCAACATCCATGGCTGTGCAACTCACAGTCCTATGGAGATTCCCTAGCTCGATTTAGAACACTGTTTCCAAACCCCAAGGGTGGGGGGGTCACAAAGTGTTTTCTGCCGGGGTGTCATGGGTCACCTTATATGTGTTGTAGCCCTTGTTAAAAAAATTTTCCTTGACCTTTGAAGCAGGATATGGAACTGCATATGTGTATGAGTAAGGCCCTTTGGTAGGGGGATGAGGGCGGGGAAAAGCCTCTGCTTTCTGAGAAGATATGACTTTACCCCATTAAAAATGCCTTTTTATGCAAATGTGGTGGGGCACAGGTTATTCAGCTATTATAAAAATGGGTTGCATCTCCAAAAAAAAATGAGAACCCTGATTTAGGGCCCCAGGCTCTGAATTTAAGGGGAAAAAACCATGAGAATTTTATATATATAAAACTTTACACCAGACGTATATATACAAGAGAATGAAAAGCATGTCATTGGCGACTATTAAAGTAAATATAATAAAATGAGAATCTAACTATTCATCTGTTAAGCAAGCTCACTTGCCATGGCTTCTTAAGAAGAAACATATATAAAACTTTTTTATATATAAAAGTTTTATAAAACTTTATAAAATTCTCATTGTTTGGTGTGTGTGTGTGTGTGTGTGTGTGTGTGAGAGAGAGAGAGAGAGAATATATATATATATGTATGTATGTATTCAAGTATTGTAATACTATGAGACTATAAGGCTTCCCATACTTAGAACTTAGGGCCTCGATAAGTTCTAGCCCAGCTCTGCAAACAAAAGGCAAGCAGGGCATAATAAACATGCAAATAAGTTATGAGGAACACAGGTATCAGTAGTGAAACTGTCATGGGACTTTAAAGCCTAAGATCCTGTATTAGATCTTCAAGAGCCCTAAAATGACTACTCAGAGAGTGACAGGTGGCAGACAGAGGCCATTTCAAACAGCATCAACATCTGGGCCAATATGGGTTTGCCTGGGCCTACTAAGATTAAGGCTGTATAACGCAGCATTGTTTCTTCTTCTTAAGAAGTCATGGCAGGGTGAGCTTGCTTAACAGATGAACAGTTACAGATTCTCATTTTATTATATTTAACAATCGCCAATGACATGCTTTTCATTCTCTTGTATATATACGTCTGGTGTCAGGTTACCAGAAACTAACTGCATTTCATCCCTATAATCATTATAGTGCTATGATCTAAGTGAGTAAAATAAGAATGATATGCACAAAATAGTTTTTAAAAATTACAGTGAGGAAACAGATTTGTTAGTTCGTTTTTGTTTAAGAGGAAGAATATAATATTAGTTGTAAAGCATGGAATAACTGTGTTGGAGAGCGAAAAGCTAGATATTAGCTGTGCACATTATAACTGAAATAATACACATGGCATTCTGAGGGACTAGAAGAGTATTAAATTCAGAGTGCAAAAATGTGTCCCATTTATGATACAGTCAAGCCTTGTGGGTGGGTGCCCCTAGTGTTTGTGGATTGGAGGCCTCCCTGTCCTTTGGGGAGCTACTCTCTCCATGAAGGATGAGGCTCGCAGCTTGGGCATACTTCTGGACCCAGCACTATCAGTCGAGTCCGAGATAACGTCTGTGGTTCACCTCGCCTATTTCCATCTAAGGCAGATTGTCCAGCTGTGTTCCTACTTTGACATCAGGTCCCCCACCACACTGGTCCATGCATTGGTAGTCTCACGATTAGACTACTGAAATGCTCTCTGCATGGGGCTGCCTATGAAGCTGCTTCGGAAACTTCAGCAGATCCAGAATATGGTGGCCAGACTACTGAGTGGTGTAAAGGAATACCATCATATTTCTCCTACTCTGGCCACCCTTCACTAGTTACCTGTTCATTTCTGTGCTGGTTTCAAGCTGATGGTGCTAACATACAGAGCCCTAAATGGTTTGGATACCCTGCACTAGTTACCTGTTCATTTCAAGCTGATGGTGCTAACATACAGAGCCCTAAATGGTTTGGAACCTCGATACCTGGCATAATGCCTCCTTCCAACAAGATCTGCCTGTCCTATATGATCTTCCCAGGCCCAGAGATTGAGAGTATTGATCCCAAGAGAGGCCCAGAAAGAGAAGACTAGAAACAGGCCTTTTCAGTGGTCGCTCCCCAACTCTGGAACAACCTCCCACCCAAAATCCTCCTGGCCCCTTCACTGGGAACTTTTAAACAATTACTAAAAACATGTTTTTTTACACAGGACTTTCTGGACCTTATAACGTCCTAATACAGGGGTTCTTGCTGCCTTGCTTCCATATCATTTTAACTATTTCCAGTTAAATGTTGATGTATGTGTGTTTAATTTTGATTTATAATTATTATGTTTACTGTTTTAGATTGTCTGATGTTATATCTGTTTAAACCGCCCAGAGTGACCTTGTCAGCCAGATGGGCAGTTTAAAAGGACATAGATAGATAGATAGATAGATAGATAGATAGATAGATAGATAGATAGATAGATAGATAGATAGATAGATAGATAGATAGATAGATAGATAGATAGATAGATAGATAGATAGATAGATAGTCATTATACTGTGTTGTTTTTTTCTACAGACCAAATCATGTCCGAGTTGAGCAATCAGGCATCTAGCTGAAGAGTAAATAGAAAAAGAAACCATGATACATTTTGTATTATTTATTTAATAGCAAAAGTATAGGGTAAACCTATAGATGTAAGATATTAGAAGATGTCAACAATCCTAAACCTGTCACACTCACCAAGTATGAGAGATAGGGTTTTTGCATTTCCTGGACTACAAATCCTATAACTTTCCATTCTGGGAGTTCTGACTGACAGACAGACACCTGAATGTGGCTCATCTGGCAGAAACGCCTAACATGGAAGGCTTTGAGGCTTAACTAGACCTAGTTTTGCTGAGCTTTGTGTTTGGAAAGAAAGCTACCAGCTAACACTGGAGCTGAAGCAGGATGTTTGACCAGAGCTAGGTCTAACTAAATCCCAAGGCCTTCAAGTTGAGCCTTTTCTTCCAGATGAGCCACATTTAAGTGTCTATCTGTCTTGTAGAATTCCCAGAATAGAGAGTATGAGCCACATTTAGGTGTCTGTCTTGTAGAATTCCCAGAATAGAGAATTATGGGATTTGTAGTCCAAGAAATCCAAAAATCCCATCCCTATATCATACAGAGTTTGTTGGCGAGATGAATCTATAACTCTTCTGTTGGAGAAATTGGGATTTTGATGCTCACACATGATACCTCTGCAATTGTGTGCTGCCAATTTTGACACGTATGGCTGTCAGGTTCTCTGCTGTCCTGAGCCATTGTCCCAGTTTCCGCTGGCTGGCATTCAGCAATCATAAAGGCTATAGCTGTGTACATAATATCTACATACTCCACATTACTAAATGACCTTCCCTAGAGTTAAGCCATGCAATCAGAACAAGACTTTGCTTGCCAGTCCAGAGTTCAGATTATGTTGAAAATCTGCAATGAGGCAATGAAACTGTGGTAAGAGTATGACATATTCAGTAAACCAAGGGCAGGAGGGAAAGGGGGGCAAATGAATGCCAGACTATTGCTATTTGTTAGTAACTGATTGTTCTGTCCATGGTAGGAAATTTTGCAAATCACTTTTTCTTGAGTGCAGAGCAGCAAAGATGAGACAATGGCTGGGAAAAGGGCAGTGGAGCCCCTCACCATCATTTTCAGAAACCTTCTTGTCTTTTGTATTTTAATTTTTACTCTATCAGAGTAGTGTGTAAAAAACATAGATTGGGCACATCTATGTTCATATAACTTGCACAAAGCCTTTGAATGCTTTGAAAATCTAAGGATATGATTTGCAACATTCAGTTCTTCACATTTTACAGAGTGTGTAAAAATATGAGTTTCTGCAGAATTTAAATAAGGT